TGCCCTTTTATTTGACAGTCCCACGGGTATACGTACTGATGGCAACTAGTTGCTGTGATATCTTACTATAAATATTAAAATTTTGGGTTGTTTCAGAGACAGAAGAAAATTCGTGATGATCATAAATCCTACTATGCGATTAACACTGTTTATGTATATGGACAAGAGAAATACTTGTTGGTAAGAAGTTTTCTGGTATATAAAGATTATTAGGTATATTTTTTAAAGACTCTTTGGAAACTAATTGGGTTTAATTTAATGGCTGTATGTGGAACTTTCATGTGATTTCTCCCCCCCCCCCAACCTGGCTTATTCATTGAAATTAATTTTAATTCCCTTGATATGTATGGTGATTACATGGGTATAGCCATAAGTAAAAATTCATCTATTTGTGTGTTTAATTGTATGTTATACTACAATAAGAAAGTAAAAATGTTAACTCTTCTTTACTTTTTCTTGCCCTTTTATTTAAAAAAATTATCCTCTACTCTTAGAAATTAATATGAAAATCTTAGTGCAGGTGCTTGATAGTATATCTGTAATCAGAATTTTTTATCTACTTAGCAGGGAAGGAGTGTACTTAACAAATGTGTGAGCCTAAGAAAAATGAATGAAAGAAGGGTATAACTGAAAAGATACCATGAAATGCAGTAGAAAGATTATATGTTCTCTTTTGACCCAGTCAGATTTCATTTCGAACACTGGTTGACCATTGATTAGCTGTGTTACCTCAGGCAAGTCGCTTACTCTCTCTGAGCCTCAGTTTCTCAAGTTAGCTAATATGAGAAACTGCTAACAGGTTCTTCCAGACAAATGGTCACTTGAATTTTACCCTTTATGATAAAAGGTTTTTGTCAGTTTCTTATTAAACCTTATTTATTTCCTATTCTTTACCTATTGTGTACTCAGTAAATACTGCTGACTGTTAATTTTCCTGTTTTTATTCTTACAGTATTTATAAATTAGCATCTTTCACGTCTGAATATTCATGTTATAATAGTGTTTTATTTGGAATATATTGAGTCACTTCTGACTCTACACTTCCCCTTGCTTCTCCTCAACAAAGAGGCACTATCTTATAGAACTCAGTCCTGAATTTTACTTTGTTGAATTATTATCATATCATAGATGAGATATTTCTTTAGCAGTTTTATAGTTAACATTGTAATACTTTAAACAATAAAATAAAATTTTAAAAGTGTAGGCAATAAAGTAGAACAAGAGGAGCATAGTGTGAAAAGTTCTTTGCTTTGTGTTTTTGATTGGTAGGGAGAAAAGGTAGTATGGTAGAATGAAAATAGACTTTGAATCATATCTGTGTTGAAATTTTGTTAGATGTGTTATTTTAAGCAGTTGACTTAATCTCATAGCCTGTCATCTATAGAATGTAGAGAATGTAGGTAAAGGGTCTGCCCACTACACTTTAGTCCAGCCATGGGCAAATTATGGCCCGCGGGCCGGATCCGGCCCATTTGAAATGAATAAAACTAAAAAAAAAAAAGACCGTACCCTTTTATGTAATGATGTTTACTTTGAATTTATATTAGTTCACACAAACATTCCATCCATGCTTTTGTTCTGGCCCTTCGGTCCAGTTTAAGAACCCATTGTGGCCCTCGAGTCAAAAAGTTTGCCCACCCCTGCTTTAGTCACTCAGTAAATGTTAGCTTTTGTAAATCCTAATCACCGTTTTTAATTCACAAAATCAGAAAATACTTACCTGCACTTCCCACTTCTAAAAATGGTCTGAAAATTTATGCTTAACTAGTATCTTTTAATTAGGAAGTTAAGTTAAACAAATAGTAAAACATCATGACTTTAATTATTCATTGATATTATGATATTTATGTTTTTCATTATTTTTTTCTTTTTACAAGATGCATGATATCTCAGAATCGGAGTTTCTAACTGAGGCTGAGATCTTTTGTGATGTTGTATGCCTCGTATATGATGTCAGTAATCCCAAATCCTTTGAATACTGTGCCAGGATTTTTAAGGTTTGTTGCTCTTTTGGTGTATAACTAAGTTTAACTTTATATGGAGTTTAATGGAATTGTAATGTGGTGTTTTCTAACTAAGAAAATCATTTGTGGGGCTTTTAAAAAGTATATACATCTGTGTCCTGTCCCTAAAGGTTCTGGTTTTGTTCTGAGGTGGTAAGGTCCCAGACATCTGTATTTTAAAAAACGTTTTTTCCCATGCATGACTCTGATGTGCATTCCTGGTAAGACCCCCTGTATTAATGGAAGGTCTTCTTGGCTGTTAGGGATGCCCATGGATTGTATATTGCCAGGTCCATCATGAATAATAATAGAATAAGGGGGAAAACCAGAGGCTTGAAAAGTTATTAGTCACTTTGAGATTTTAAGAAGATTTAATTCCTTTGTACATAAAACTGTATGTACAAAGGAATTTATTCTAGCATTATTTTTAACTAGAGGCCCAGTGCATGATCGGGGCCAGGGAGGGACTACAGGAGGGCTCCAGAGCATGTCTGGCCCGCCTCACTCAGTCCTGATTGGCCAGACCCCAGCAGCAAGCTCACTGGTTGGAGCATCTGCCCCCTGGCCAACCAGTCGACTGTCTGCCCCCAGTGGTCAGTGCTTGTCATAGCAAGCAGTTGAGCAGCTTTAGCATATCATTAACATATTACACTTTGGTTGGTAGAATGGATGACTGGATGACTGGACATATAGCTTATTAGGCTTAGGTTGGTAGAATGGACGACTGGATGACTGGACATATAGCTTATTAGGCTTTTATTATATAGGATAGCAAAAAACTAGAAATAATTCAGATGCATTAGAATCGGAGAGGATACTTTACCAAATTAAGATAAAATAATCCAGTGGTCTATTAAATAGCCATTAAAAACAATGGTTTTGATTTCTGAAAACATGGGAGATTCTGTATAATATATTTTTAAATGTTTATATCCAGCATGACGGCCACTATATATATAAACATGTAGTATATAAACACATGTGCTTAAGGACTGAAGGTAATATGAAAAAAGAAAATAGTGTGCTTTAAGATTGAGGACTTTATATAGATTTCTTTTTATTTCAAAATATCATGTCTTTTTCATAAAAAACATTTTCAAATTTGATGAATCTGAAGAAGCATTACACGTTTATATTGTTACCAGCATTAGAAAAGTGGCCCTGGTAGTATTATAAGACTGACCTGGATCACTATTGTTGCTTTGCCTATCCAGAGAAAAATTTTAGTACACATTTAATTAGAGTAATTTTTGAACTTGTCATCAGATTTTTGTTTCATTTTTTATTCCACAGCAACACTTTATGGACAGCAGAATGCCTTGCTTAATCATAGCTGCAAAGTCAGACCTGCATGAAGTTAAACAAGAATATAGTATTTCACCTGCTGATTTCTGCAGGAAACACAAAATGCCTCCACCACAAGCCTTCACTTGCAATACCACTGAGGCACCCAGTAAAGATATCTTTGTTAAGTTGACAACAATGGCCATGTACCCGTAAGTACTTACTCTGCCATCGTTTTCATGTTGCATGGTTCATAACGACATTGCATGCCATTATTAGCCATGAGAGTGGAACCTTTGTCCATAGAAGTTGTTCAGCAACAGAAAGATTATAATGAGAAGGTACAAATTTGAGAAAATGCAAGTTTGGTTTGGGTGCCATAATAAATTTATATAAACAGTGCTGACAGTATTGGTATAGATTTGAACATCTATAACTATCTTAATAGGGTAGTATAATAAAACTAAGCTCCCCACCCAGCATTAGAAAAACAACAGTCTTACTGCAATAAAGTGGGGTTAGCACATGTTGCCTTATGCTTGTAAGGTATTTCCATATGAACAAAAAGTTCATTTTTATATTTTTCTGTTGATTAATTGATCTTGAGTATGTGAAGGATGCTAAAATCTTTTATGTAATTAAATTATGGGTATATTTGAGTTCAGGATATGATATCTTTTTTAAGTGCTGTAAAAAGTAGTTGTAACTGGAATTCCTGCTATATAAATGTTTTACATTGTGTTATACCACAAGTTTTATGTACATTTATTGTATAGCTATACATGCATATGCACAAGCACATAACTGTGGTCATCTTCATAGTTTACTAACTGCCTTAAAATTGCATGGTTCTTAATGGCATTCTCCTCGAGCACTATGTATAAATTCTGTTTTGTAACAAGCTAGTTTTCAGGCAGTGCGTTTCTCGGGACTTTATAGTTTATTCTGTTTATAATTATGTTATTCTCTAAATTATTATTCTTATGAAAACTATGGTATAAAATAGAGTAATTGACGAAACCGGTTTGGCTCAGTGGATAGAGCGTCGGCCTGCGGACTGAAAGGTCCCAGGTTCGATTCCAGTCAAGGGCATGTACCTGAGCAGCTGATCGATGTTTCTCTAAAAAATAATAATAATAAAATAAAATAAAATAGAGTAATCAAACATTGCTATAAACTGAGTTTTTTCCGAAAGTTGTTCATTTGTTACAGATTTTTCAAGTCAGAGTTAACTTTACTGCTATTTCATTAACTACTTAATACTTGCTTTAAAATGCAGTAAACTCTTGCAGTTCTATTTATGTTGGAAGACAAGGCATTTCTATTACTATAAGATAAGCACAGCCTTATTTATGTTTTACCTTTAAAACTCTCGTGTATGTATCTACAGAGAGGATCATTACAGAGACAGACTCTCCCGAGACACGGGCAACACTGATAGAATAGAGAATTTGAGAAAAGTCTGGGTCTTTCTAAAAACTGCTTTGTAAGTTACTTTTTCTTTATGGCTTCTGTGGGATTTTGTTGACATTTTCTTATAGATGAGAAAGTCTCCTTTCTTGCCATAATTAACATTCAGTAATTATCCAGAAACGCACTGCTTGGTCAGGCTTACTGCATAACTGTGTATTATGGTGTCCTTTGTTTACTGTGTAAATGCACTATTTTAATCTTGTAAATAACTGCAACTGCGTTTTTAGATCTGTACCTTTTACTATTTTACTGCACTTTGTGTGTATGTGTGTGTGTGTGTATGATAAATGTACATACTTGGACACTTGTTCATATGGTTAACCCCAAACTCCTTCTCATGAAGCATCTCCCTGTTGCTAAGCATACTTTGCACCCCTCCTTTTTGGAGGGTGGAGCCGGTGTATGTTGAACAGTCGGACTCAGTTTATAAAATAAAAGATGGATTCCAGTATGACAGCTGGCAGTGACTTAGTAGCAGTGATATGTTCATCATCACAAGTCAAGTTTTAAATTAATTCTTGTTTTTCTCCATGTTGGGAATTAGGCATTATTGGGATGCTGCTAAATCTCCACAACCATGCCACTGTGCCCTGTGGTCTCATCCGATCTCACAAGCTAAGCCAACTCAGATTGGGCCAGTCCTTTGACTGAGAAGCCTTGCAAAAAATGTTCAGGTGTTACAGGAAGTGATGGCATTGGTTCATCAGGTGGCGCTCTTCTGTGGGGGTTCTGCACCAGCACCTCTTCAGGGTAGTGTGATTCAGGCTTTGTGTGTCTGAGTGGCTCTGACCACTGAGCAGTCATTGGAGACCCCTACTTTGGTGGTTAGGGCGGAGGTGAAATGGGTTGCCCATGTGCCTGTGCCAACTAGTACAACTCCACTCAACCAGAAAGGAGTCAGAAAGCCTCCCTAAATTTCATATCTAATACCAGTTGGATCATTGTTGGTTTTTACATCCTTACCCAGAGTTTCATAGTAGCAGATGAAATTAACCCTCTATTTTGTTCAAAATGCAGCTCTTTGATTTCCTTTGGGAATCAAAGTGCTTGATATTTCAAAGATGATGTTCATATCTCCTCGGGGTTTGAATATACTCGTCTTTTGATTTTTGTGTGTATTTGTCACTCTTCTTCTTCCTGGTTTTCAGGCATGTGTGTATGCTGAGGGAAGAGGAGGAGGAGGAGGGAATGGTTATTTAAATGTTAGTAAATTTTGTCTATTTGGTGGGTGCTATGGCTTACTCAGTTTTTCTTTTTATTAATTTAGATGAGGGTGCCAGCTATTGCTGTGCATATTTATTCCACTAAAACTCCTGTAATAATAATTCCATCTCCCTTGTCCTTAGATTTTCTATAGGGAGGGAAGAGGGAGCCAAAGCTGTTTACTATATTTTTTATATATGTGGAATTCTGCACAACTTTAGCATGCCCCACACTATCCTTTTCCTTAGTGTTGCTTATGCCTAATTTTTTTAACTTGGCACACCCTGACTTGTGCCATATTTGTAAGTAAGAACTCAACTCCTGTCCTTCTGTGTGTTTTCGCAGCCATGCCCGGTTACGCTGTATGTGCACCTGCAACAGGTGTACATTTTGCATCTGTCAGAACTTCCTCAACTCAGAGTTGCTGCAATCTATAAAGAACAAAATCTTCACTGCAATTCTTAACAGGTTCTTAACTTTATTTACTGGGTACCAGGCATTCTGTTAAAATACAAAAGGAAAAAGTGGATAACTATTTATTACACTTATACTTACTTACAAAGACAATGAGCTGACTGATGCCCAGCTAACTTCCATTAAAATTCTCACTGTGGTGACAGTATGTAGATTTGGAATCATTCTTAGTAATGTCTCTAAATTCATAGATATATTTAGGGGACTATAAAATTTGGGGTTGTTTTTTTTTTCATTAAGGAAGCTAAAGTATCTTTCATATTAGAGGATAATATGTATAAGGAGATTAAAAGCTTTTGGCTGAGAGTTGTAGAAATAAATTGGGACATTCGTAGTAAGGAAAAGACATGTTGATCCCAAGTGTTATAATGTATTTAGTGTACATTCAAATAATACAACTTATTAAACCCATACCAATGTGAACAATATCTTGGGTTTGAACAAATTATCTACTTTAAGTGCCTGGAATGTTTATTTGAAAGAACATCATTTCTGGAAATGAGGATAGTAACCAACTTTAAGGATTCAAAGGAATATGGAAAAGAAAAAGAGATCTATAGTATTAGTTTTTGAGGTCTTCATAAATGAGTCCAAAACATGACATATGCCTAGAAAGTAATATGCTTTGAAAAATGAAAGAAAAATAGGATATATATACCTTCCCTCAAAGCAGTGAATTTGGAGGGTTATATTCTTATTCTGGTCATGCTACCTTTGTTCAGATTTATTTTACATTTTGTGAGCATTTAAGAGCTATGTAATATTAATTTATATCTAATGTTAAATTTTTATGTGTCTAAGGATGAATTAGGATTTTGAACTCATTCAAATGTCATTGGGAACTGGCCTTGATTAAGACAGATGATCAAGCTCAGTAGACTTGGATGAGAAATGGGTCAGTTAATTTGTTTACCATTGGACTTTTGCTGAGGACTAGGCTCTGACTATACCAGATGAGCAGGATAGTTTGTGTCTACCAGCAATATAGTAGGTGTGGCTATGAAACAGGGAGACTGTAGCTTATGTGAGCCAGAAACGGACTTTGAAATCTTTCTAAATGAGCTTTGGGGAGGCTTTGAGCACTGGCAGCTCTGCGTAAGAATGCAGCCATCTCAGGTGCCTGCTTTGAAGGGATCCCCACACCCATTTGGTGGTCAAGTTCTGCCTCTATCCCTAAAGTAGCAGTGCAGATTCTCTCATTGCGCCTGTCTGAGGAACTGCAGGCTAGTTCAGACCTCAACGTTCAGGAGCTCTGATTTGGACATGGTAGAGGTGGAAGGGAGTCTAACGTTCTTCTGGCCTACCCTCCCATTAGAATGCCTTTCTGCAAGTCTTCCTGAGAGCGTGCTGTTTGTCTGCTGGTGGCTTTCCTCGTTGGAGAGGGCTTTTTGTTTTTTATTTTATTTTGTTTTTAACTAAAATGATTTCCCTATAACTTTCTTTCCTTTAGTTTTAGTTCTGCCCTTTAGAACAACATACGACTATTCTACTCCCTCTTCAACATAGCAATCCTTCAGACATTTGAAGACGACCATCATGTCTCCCCTAATTTTCTCTTCTCCAGGTAGAACATCCCCATTTCTTTCAGCCTTTTCTTAAATTAGATGGTTTAGTGACTTCATCATTCCTGGTTGTCCTCATCTCAAAGCCCCTTAGGTTTTTAGAGTACCTCAAAAGGTGCCGCTGAGAATGGGGACCAGTGCTCCAGGTGTGACCTGACTAGTCCAGAACAGTGGTCAGACGTGTTCCATGGTTAAGACAGCACCTGTCTACTGCATGAGTTAACGTTTTAGCAGCCCCATCCCACTGTTGATGCATTTTAATCTTGGGGTTAATTGAAATCAAGATTTTTTTTTCATATGAAGTGCTATTAAGGCAGTGTCCACTCCTCTCTAATTGTGTATTTGCCATTTTTAGTTGACTCTTTGAATCTAATTGCAGGTACATATGTATCTCTATTAAATGTCATATTCTTTTTTATCCATTTGTTCTAGCTCAGTCATTTCAAACATTATTTTGTCATTTGTCCCACTATATATCTCTCTCAACATTGTGTTATTTGCAAATTTTGTAGATATGTCTTCTTTATCTTTCCAGTTGTTGATAAAAAATAATGTCCAATACCCAGAGATTGGAGAGAGCGGGAAAAAAAAAAAAAGCGCTCAAGCCCTATAGCACTCCACTAGAGGACTCTTCTCAGCGCCATAGGTTCAGAATTCTTGGAGAAAGATTATTTTGTCAGTAAAAAATATTTTATTATCCAGGCTATAGTTTATCTTATTATCTTATGAGAGATTTCATGGAGGGCTTTTTAAAAATAAACATATACTCTCTACCACATTCCTCTCATCTACCAGCATGGTAATTCCATCTAAATAGGAAGTGACATCTATTTGGTGTTTTATTCTTGGTGAACCTACCTTGGCACCTAGTAATTGCTGATCACAAACCATGTATTTTATTTATTCGACAAATCCTTGTTTGTCCAGAATTGCAGATTAATTTATTGTCTGCACCTTAATGACAATTTTATTCTTAGATCAGCTTCCAAATGAAATAGGTTGAGTGTGCATTATTGGATAAGCTTACTCATAGTATATTATTCTATACAGTGATCCTCGAGCAGAAATCAGTACACTTTTTCATATTTATTTATAAGAAATAATTTAATGGTGATGTTGCAATACATCACTGATACCTGATAATCAAGAATGGAAGGGATGGAAAAGAAAAGGAGGGAAACCTTTAAAGAACTCCTTCCTGATCCCTGATAGTATTTCAATAATTTATTTCATAGAAATTTAAAAGTTGTATATTAAAGTTTCTTCTGGTTTACAAAAGGATGTAAATAAAGTTGGTGGGAGTAGAGGCCCAAATTAAGTGCCTACAGGATCTAGATAGAAAATGTAAATGAATGAAGGTGACCAACTTTAAAAAATAAGAGAGGTGGGACTATGACAGGCCCTGTCTAAAAGAGGCCCCCACAGCTCAGCTCTGGACTTTTGTTATTGGTGTTGCCAGGTGTTCTGATTCTATGAGACTAGAAATCAGGGTTTTTATGTGAAGTTTTCTGTTATTTAAATGGCAAATTTTAAAAGTACAAATCAGAAAAAACAAAACCTGTTTACAGGCCACCAGTTTGCAACCTCAGTCTTAAGATATGACTTACAGTTGTAAAAATGAAGGTATACACACAACAAAGTACACCTAAGAAATGAAAATGTCTCTTAACCCTCCTTCCCCTTCCCCATTTTACTCCTTTCTTGTGTAAAATTTGAAAAAGTTGCAGGGCAATGGGGTGAGAATGGAATCACCTTATCCTAGTATTTCTCAGGTTTTGGCATCTTAGGTGGTTGGTCACCATTGTTTTGCCTGGTGAGGTATATCTTAATGTTACATAATGATTAATTGAATACAAGTCATTTAAGAATTTTTCACTGTAATTAAGTAGGGATTCTCACTCAATACTAACTCTTAAGTCTTTGGTTTTATAAATCTTCCATGCCTAATTTTTTATTTGGAACTTTAAAAGAGCAGTTTTAAATTTTTGATTTAAGCAAAAAGTTTCATCAAATTTCCGCAAAAAAATTGATAGACAAATATTGGTACATATAGGTTGATCTCAAATTAGCACAGTTTTATTGTGCATATAAAAATTTCGATCCCTGAAATAACTTCCAGAGATAACGCATGTTTGAGATCACATACTCCCTTTATCTCAAACCCCTCCCTTTTATTTATTTAAATACTTAATTTAAGTACCTGCTTTGGATAGGATCTGCTGTGAGCCTGGGCAAAATAAGAAGAAGAAGATAATGGACCTACCCTTAAGTATTTTTCTAAATATTATGTTGTTCAAAATTTTTTTCTTATACTTTGGTTATATTTTCAGTGACCATAGTCCCATGCCAAAAAAGGAAGTGCTAGAACCTCACCATGAGAGGATTTAAGCCTATTAGTTATTTTATACTTACGCAAGTTTAATAGATTCATTTCTGAAATTGTCCATCTTTTCCCTAGCTATGTGTTTTTGACCAGTAAAGATTGTCTTTTTTGGACCTTATTAACTGGCCGTACAGATTTTAAGTAGAAAATTGTAATGAAAATGTTTTCCCAATTTAATTGAATGTATAGTGATTTCAACATGTGAGACAAGTGTTAAACTATGTGTTTTACATGTAACTTTGGTAATTACAGGCTCACCCTTCAGGTCTGGATAAGTTTATGTTTTTCTTTATAATAATTTATAATTAACTAGAATTATTTTGATTTAAATACATTTGGAGCATAATTAATGTGGTCAGATTATTTTAATCTTTGGTAATGCTTTCATATCATGTTACTGAGGGAAAATATCTTTTGATTACATTTTTATTTTTAAATACCTTTTTAATGTGAAAGTATTAAATGATTATGTAGGGGTGAGCCTGATTGTTGGTTTGAACTACGCAGGATTTTAGTTTCTTATTTATTATTCTGACTTCAGACACTCCTACTCTGTATGAAGATGTTACTATACTATGGAGTGCTCTGAACTTTAATGTGTCCCTTCCTTTAGGTGTTCATTTTCATTTGTTTGTCGGTGCCATTGAGTCATTTTTTAACTCTTCTCAATCTCTTTCCCAGCTAGTTTTCTGTCTGTACCCATTCATCCTACCCTATAATTCAACTAAAGTGGTTTATTTACAGTTTATTATTTTGTGAGATTTTCTTTTTTTTTTTTAATTTTATTTTTTATTACAAAGGGTATTACATATGTGTCCATTTTTTTCCCCGCCCTAGTGTGAGATTTTCTTTGATATTTACTTTGGATTTAGGATTTCTTTTATTCCATTTTATTATTTGCACTAGCCATCTAAATTATTTGTTCATGTTACTTCTTTTTTTAAAGTATATTTTTATTGATTTCAGAGAGGAAGGTAGAGGGAGAGATAGAAACATCAATGATGAGAGAGGATCATCGATTGGCTGCCTCCTGCACGCCCCCTACTAGG